ACGTACAAACAGCACGGGGTCTACCGCAGGTAAATTGCCTACCTGTTAATGTACTAGCAGAATTATTATTCCGGGTAACGAAAAAGTTGAGATAAATTTTGAACACCATACACCGATATTAAATAACGAATTGAACAAAGGTTGAGTCATATAGAGTTGATACATTTAACGGGCAACGAAGTGCACAGGATCAGCTAGTATATTTATAATTTTTAAATATTATATACCTACCTACATTCGTCCGAGCTTCAATGCTGAGTCTGATATATATAACTAATATATGCATGCCGAAAACGACCACTTTCAGATAGTACCTGAAGCCAAGTTCGGGTTCACACAATCACACTACACTATGAAGTGTAAAATAATCACAGTTACCACCTGCACAGTTACCAAACGATACTGCAAAGTTGAATGTATTCAATTTTTGACCGTGTGGTTACATTTATGTGCGGAAAACTGATAGCTAAAATAAAATAATATAATATGTTATCATCAGATACAATATTAATATCATTGGTATTGCATTTTGGTATAAACGTACAAATACGAAATCACTCGACAAGGTGTAGTGTGAACCCGGCTTGAGAGGCCATGAACGACTGCTGATCCTCCGTGATATATATATGCTCGTGGTCGGTACCAAAGAAATCTGTACTTCTACGTATTTCAAAATTGTGTAGGACACACATCGTTTGAAATCGATAATTCAAACCGTTGACTCTAATAACCGCACATTTCTGTTCGACAAACCTGGACCAATCTGCCCACTTTAAGCAGGTTAAGACGGCACACTTTTTAACAGTGCCGTATCCAAACATCACCTCGGCGCAAGGATGTCTGAGATATAAACTATAATAATATAACCTTTATAATTTTGTTGTTTTATGGTTTTCTGCGTACACAATACACTGCAGCGAGACACGAGTGTTCTATATATTGATCGAGAAAGTATAGTTATAGTAAACTGCAGTTCTTGTTCTGTGGTAGTTCCTAAATATAGTAACTATATAGTATAGACATTTGGGTGACTTAAGAGGACGCCACACCCGCATGTGTTGTCTCCGTCTTACAAATGTACAACATAGCAAAAACTCTTTTGCGAGGGACAACTTTTCTCGTACCATATTTGTTGTAGAACTACCAAATTTTGACAGCACTTAAAGAAGAACTTTATCTGTGCAACAGCGTGCTCTTTTTTTCAATAACATATATACAATACAAGTTATTTGCTTCTAAACATTTGGTTTTTTAATTTGCTTATAAAAAATGATTGGATGGTGCTATTGAAAAAAAGAGCACGCTGTTGCACAGATAAAGTTCTTCTTTAAGTGCTGTGAAAATTTGGTAGTTCTACAACAAATATGATGCGAGAAAAGTTGTCCCTCGCAAAAGAGTTTTTGCTATGTTGTACATTTGTAAGACGGAGACAACACATGCGGGTGTGGCGTCCTCTTAAGTTGTGCACCTATCCAGTGAGCTTTTAACCATTGTTAATTGCTAGGTATAGTTTAATACTTGGCCTGCATTAGCGTATAATATTGTTATTAAGCAGTACCTAGGTAATTTAAATGGTTGCTATTGGTGTGTTATGTATAATAACAAATACTTGGCAACATAATAATATAAATATATTATACCTGCATTAGTATTTAGTACTCATTTTCCAATTATCGTCATTGAGTTCAGACCTGCAGTAAAGTCCGTTTCTATTGATTAATACCTACGTGTCAACTGAAGATTATACGAACTAGTAATTAATACTCTATACACAAGTAACTACAAGTAAGGTACATTAATTATTTTATGTGACAGTAATATTGTAATTGTATGGATAATTATATAGAATTAGTACTTTTTAGCATAATCATAATTGTACTAAGTGTTATGAACGCCACTGCGTATGCCTGTGATGTTCTGTTATATTTTATATTGTGTCTCTGGTTGTATCCGAAGACGACAATTTGTTGAAACCGTTCTCTGTGTAGCGGGTGATAATCAAATGTTGTTTAATAGTTTATTAATAAAAAGAATACACGTTTTAGATTTATATGAGAATATTATACTTTATTAGTTTTAAAAAATATGATTTATACTACAAGCTCACTACTTAGCTCGAATGAGTCGAGTTCTAGACTGAATTGCCGACAGGACCGATACTATATAGTCTTGTCGCGCATAAGCAAAATATCTAAGATAAGACGCCTACATACAGGCGTTATTATATTCTGTAAAACAAGCATCTCTATAGTCTCTATAGTGGTGGGCATATAACATAAATAGTAAATAGTAGGTATTTCATGATTACAATTTATAATATAATATTACCGAAAAAATAATCTTGAGTCCGAAACTCCGAACTAGGTATGTCTGCAGACCATATTTATCGATGAGCATTCTTGATTTTTTTGTACTTGGTTTACTAAATAACAATTAGATAAATTGGACTTGAAAATACCTAATACTTGGAAGAATGAAACAAAATTTTGATTTTATTTAAAAAAATTGTTACAATATTATTCATATAGTTCAACACAAATATCTATTCTTCAACAGTTCAACACTGTTTAAAATGTATCTATTAGTTTCGTATTAAGTTATATGGATTTCCAATTCAATGTAATATAATGTATGAAAAATGTAATTTCTTTAATGGTAATATTGTAATGATTATTATAATAATAATACAAATCTGAGCCATTATGAAAAATTAATTTAGGACTATAATAATACGTATACAAAGTGGTAAATAATTAAATTTTTGATTTAACATATTATTTGAGTTTTATTACAATCAGTTTCTAAATAAAATGTTGTATTCATTTATTATTATTATTAAATTTAAATCTGTTTCTTTCTTATAATTGTCTTTATTTTATTTTCAGTTTTTTGTTTGTACTGAAGACTGAGGTTCATAAGATTGAAAAAAAAGTAGTTATGGAACAAAAAAATAACTCTGATGTAAGTATTCAATGTTATACACAATGTTACACATTTATAAAATTTCAATGCTTCTTTTATATATAATTTTCATAATATGTTATAAATAAGTTAAATTGTTCATTATTACATAATATTTAATCCAACATTCTAACCTGACGAAAACAATAATCAGCACCACAATTAAACGGTAGGAATATAGACAAGATACCTATGTGTCATTAGATTGCTATTTTCAACTAAATTCAGCCTGGATGAACATAAGCATATATATATAGTGTATTAATTTACACAATTAGAGATAGAATAGTTTTTATTTATTATTCATGCAATATTAAGTGTTATTTAGTCTCTATATATTTATACATTTTAATCATCAATTTTTTTAATTTGTATTATTTTAGCAAGTGTTAAATACTGTAAGATCGATTGTTTACCATTTAAATGATGTCAACTGGGTTAAGATGACACAAAAAATGATGGCTTTGCCAATAAATAATGTTAAACTACTCGATGACATAACAAATATAATATTTGATCGAGTATGTATATTGTGTATAAAATTAATATTGATTATAGTTCTAACTTCTAATTGAACTTGTATAATATTATCATTGCGTTTTATTTTATCTATTGCATTATCGTTATATCCATCTAGGCTTTAAAAAGACAAAATTATACACACATATACGCTCAGATGTGTGCACGTTTGATCAATGACTCCAAGTTTAATAATCTTATTGCTACCGATACAGAAATAACATTTCAAAAAGTGTTATTAAAAAAATGTCACGATGTTTTTTATTCAAACTATCAAGAAGAATTGAATAAATTAAAAGATACAATGAAAAATGATAATATGGTAAATATAGTTATGTTGTCATTATATTTTGTTATGACTTATGATTATTATCATCTATGGTTCTCAACATATTATTAAAATACCTTTATACGTTTTATTTTTATTCCTAAATCCTGTATGAAATTATATGTAATTCTGAATTCAAAATAAGTTTACTAATTTTTAGAAGTTGGTTCAATAATACTTATGCATACTATTATTTGTTTACCAGGTACCGAAGAAGTGTTTATCCGGCGTTTTAAATAATTTTCTATTCGATTTCCAGAAAAGATCCATATGCAATTGCAGGTGTGTTTTGAATTAGTATTATTTAATTAACACTTTCGTTATTTTTATTTATGTAAATTATTACTTTTGATAGATTTATTGGCGAACTGTTTAAAAACGGCGCGTTCCCAGAAAAGTATATACTCAAGTGCATTGGAGATTTAGGTAAAGAGAAGAATGACAACAACTATGAACTACAAATGCACTGTTTGTGTATAATATTACAATCAGTTGGGCTAATATTATCAAAAGTAACAACAAAAAATTGCTACGAAGAAATTGTTTAATATAAATAGTTTTTTTTCCAGACGTCATATGATTTGAACAAAAAAATCAATAAACTTGTATCGTCTATGGAAAACCATGGGATGTCCTCGACATTAAAATGTTTGATAAAGAAACTAAAAATAATGAATTCCAAGGGTTGGATGGATGAGGGTAATTGTTTTTAGTTTTAAAATAGTTTAAAAATCTACTGCTGTATAAGCACGATTAAAGATAGTATGGTTGCCCAACGAATCTAGAAAAGTGTCGACCGATATAAATCTCTACTTATCAGTATTAAACAGCTGGAAACTTAAACATTAGCGCTTGTGTGTTATAGCGACAATAAATGCAGTTACCACTCAAAGATAATTAGATAGATAATTAATTTTTTCCCGCGCTTTCATTATTTAACTCATATTAAGACATAATAATAATTATTATTATTTAATACCTATGAATACAGAAAGCATGGTATTCAAAATACTATGATTGACTTTGTAACAACTATCGTCTATCAGATATATTATTGACAGCCATAGATAATAGTTAATTATAAACAATTAATAATCTCGTCTTAAGTAATACTGTAATAGTAATTATTATTAATACGTAATAAATAATAATAAATATATTAATTTGTACGTACTGAGAAGTTAAATTAAAAATGTCCTGTTGTGTACCAAATTGTATTTTTCGAGACAAATGTTTAAAACAAAGTCGTTTTCACTTTCCAAAAGACCTTGCGTTACGATCTGAATGGGAGAAAGCTTTAGGACTTAATTTCCACCCTAATTCTAGAGTTTGTCGCCAACACTTTAGAGACAGTGATATAAATGATTCATGGGTTACTGG